ACAAATCGGAAACTTTGACCGCTTCACCTCCTCACGCGCTGCCGTCGACGGAGACCAAGGATGACACCGGCGAACTCGGAACGATGCAACGAACACAATGGTGCGGGAGGTGTCGTAAACGGATGACCCGATCGTCGTGAATCGATGAAAAACCAACTAATATCGAGTTATTATACCGATGATACTTCCGACTGAAATTAACGATGAACGGAGATGATTCACAACAAAAGGTTTGAGGAGTTTTGTTCCTCGGTTGACAACGAACACGATGGTGGTTTCGGCTCGTCGATCGGAGGTCGGACGGCGAGTAGATCAGAGTTGAAAGGAGGGTAGTTGTAGAAGACAAAACTGGAAAAAATGAGAACTTGGGAGAAGAAATTTATAATTCATCCTTATATAAAAAAATGGGTAAACCAAGAGTTTAGTCACTGAACTTCATGTACTTCTTAAAACGGTCTTCCAACTTTTAAATTTTACGATTTAATCCCCGATTTCATCCAAAAATACCAATTAAATTCATCACTTTATAATTTCTTAAATTTAGCCCCTAAATTGGGGTGTTACATCCTTAATGCCATCGATAAATGTATTTCACAAAAAGAAAATTTCCAAGTTGTGTAGAGCTTTTACGGCTAAAGAGGTTCAGATAGGCTTTTTCCCAAATGCAAAGCATCCAGTTTGGACGGTATGCCTGGGTTTTTTTTTTGTTCCTTTTGGCACATTGTTGGTGACGATGCCATTGTTGGTGACGATGATAGATTCATAATATATTTTTGTCTAAGCACACCTTCGGAGAATCAAAGACAAATCAGTGATATTTTTGGAGTCCATGAAAATGTTACCCCTAGTTATTATCTTGGCCTTCCCCTTCCCCTTGTGATTAAAAGAGGAAAATTAGAAGCTTTTGTCTTCATAGAAGATAAATTTAGTTCACACATCAATGGTTGAACCAAAAACTTACTCTCCTTCGGAGGTAGAGAAGTTTTCCTCAAATTTGTGGCACAAGCTTTCCTACACATGTTATGTCTTTTTACCTCATCCCCATGTATTATTACCTCTCTTACATCCCTTATGCATGCATATTAATGGTCGAGTCGACAAGGATCCAGAGGTTGGGCTCTCATTGGGTGGAATCAGGTTTGTCGTGCCAAAAGAGATGGAGGTATAAATTTTCGAGACCTCAAGCTGCTCAATCTTACGTCGCTAAGGAATCAAGTGTGAAGATTTGTTCATTCTCCTAACTCTCTGCTTTTTAAAGACTACAAGGCCAAATACTTATAAAGACTGGTGCGACCTTCTCAAGGACAGAAATAGAGCAGACCTCCTGAATGATCAATTAAAGTTCATGTGGACAATGCAACATCGATGGTGCGACCTTTTCATGGACAGAAATGGAGCAGACCTCCTGAATGATCAATTAAAGTTCATGTGGACGGTGCCTATCTCCCTCACTACAGGGAAGTTACAATTGGAGTTTTCGCTCGAGACCACCATGAGATGGTTCTAGGTGGTATGGCACAGAAGCTTGTGCCTCTTCAATCACCTGAATCGACAGAAGTATTAGCTTTCACTAATGGGATTCAATGGGCCATTGATCGTGCTTAGGATAAGGCGATTATCGAAGGAGATGTGATTTCAGTCGCTAGCAGACTTTCTAACGCTCACGAAGACATATCGGAGATTGGATTGATACTCAATAAGGTTATGTTAATCTTGCTAGACATCAAAACATTAAAGAGCACTTCACTAATCAGGTGGTAAATCGAGTCGCTCATGCACTGTCCAAGTGGGCATTGTCGAGTACCAATTCCTTATGATTTTATATGGATGAACATGATGGTATAAAGAATGAAGTATTTCTTGATGCCTTTGGAATTTAATGAATTAATATTTGTTTTTTAAAGAAAAACTATTCTCGTTATTCTATATTTATCACACGGTTATTTTATTCAAAATCATACATAATGTTGCATTTTATTTTAATTATTTCGTTAAGAAAATAATGATGATGTTAACATGTCACTATAAGATAATGTCACGTCATCATTGAAAAATGAGAAAAAAATCATATTAGTAGTTCTGTTAATATTTTAAGGACGAATGCCTAAAATAAAATTAAAATGTAATATTATTTATAATTTAAAAAAATAGTTAGATGACCAAAATAAAACTGCACAAATAGGTGAGTAACTAAATATATAATTTTCTCTATATTATATAATATTTATATGTTAATAATCTTATTTTGAAAAAAATAATATTAAGAGGCACAAAAACACAATTCCCTATAACCAAAAAATTATGGGATGTCTTAGGTGTGACAACCTTAATATACGGCTAAGGAAAACTATTATCGAAAATTTTAATATTTTTTTAACATTTTCGATAAAGTACTACTTAAAACATTAATTTTTTCTATCGAAAATGTTAATATTGAGCGCTACCTAAAATGTTTAACATTTCTAGTAAAGCTCTACCTAAAACATTATTTTTTCTACCAGAAATATTAATATTGGGTTCTATCGGAAATTAGTTAGTGAAATTAACATTTCTAGTAAAAAAATAATGTTTTAGGTAATATTTTTTTAAAAATATTAAAAAAATTAATATTTCTAATAAATCATTTCTTTAACCGTATATAAAGACTATCGACACCAAACCTACTCAAAAATTATGTATAGATGAAAGATCCCCACGATCTATGGTGATGTGGCAAAGCAGTTAACACGTGTGAGCCCTACAAGCTGTGTGCTCCTACGTGGACATTTGTACTACTTTTGTAGAAATAGATAAATTCTTCCCTCTGACAGCAATTTCTACTCTGAGTCACGCGTCTCAATTACTTTATTCCACGTGGCATGATATTAACCCTCTGATGTACCCGATCCGTCCATACGTGGTTTTATTTTCCCCTCTTTCCATCTCTGGGGTCGTCTATTTTTGGGGTAAGTTTAAGGTGGAGTGCCTTATAATTAAGGCTAATTTATAATTAATCAAAAATATTATCGAGGCAATTTTTTTAAGTTAGTATAATCAAAAGTATTCTGAAGTTTAAAATTTTTTATATTTTCAGTTGATAATCGAGAAATATTTTATTATCGGTTATCAACCTAAAATGTTACTCTAGTCAACCTAAAATTGGTAAAATTTTCGGTTACATCCAATGGTGGATCCACCTTGTTCCCAGGGTGGGCACGTGCCATTCTAAAATCCGAATTTCTTTGATTTCAGTTTGTTACTCATTTTATTGATAGTGTCTAGCCTGAAAATTTATTTGTGTTCATCTCATACGAAAATTTTGTGTTATTCATGCACATTTGTCCACTCTAAAAAATATTTTTGGATCTACCATCGGTGTTAACCTAAAATTTTATCTATGTTTCTAGATTGATTCCAAGTTAATATTGAGGGTATTTTAGGTTTTAACCTGAAATGTTATAAAAAAAATAATATTTTTCGTTTTACAACTTGAAATGTTATAAAGCATAAAACATTTTAGGTTTCAACCTAAATTCTCATATGAGTTTTTTTATCTTCCCATGTTCAATATATTTTACGACAAGTATCAAAAAATTTTACTCCGAGTTTCAGTACTCACTAAGTCAACCTAAAATATTATATATTTTGAGAATATTTTAGGTTGGAAATGATAAGTATTGAACCTCGTAGAATAAGTTTTTATACTTACTAATCTAACCTAAAATGATATATATTGGTAATATTTTAGGTTAAAAACGATAAGTATTCGAAACTCAAAGTAAAAATTTTGATACTTGTTGTGAAATATACTCGACCTAGAGTGTTATATGTTTGGTAGTATTTTCGGTTTGTAACCTAAAATGTTATATATTTAATAACATTTTCGGTTGTAACTTAAAATCGATTACGTCATTTTTAATCCTATTTTAGATGTCGCGTAGACTCATCCCTACTTTTGCTATCATGGAAGGAAGATTATTTTTTTATTTTCTCATTTTATATTATTTTTTTTGAAGAAAAATTATTTTAAGGTAAAAATATAATTTAAATGAGTATAAGATACTAGAAGATAAACTTGAACTTTTAAAATATTAAAGGTAAAATTTGAGTTTATAAAATTTTAGATGACGAAAATATATTTTTAATAAAAAATATTAAAAAAATCTAAAATATGTGGTCATTTTAAATTTTCATAATACGATTACCTGACACACTTCCTCTTGTCTATCCCTGGATGCAGTTACATCCAAAGTGGTCAATAATGGTTATAATTACAGTAAAGTCAGTTATCGACAATGATTTTAATTTGATTTTAATCTGTTTCTTTTTGGTCAACAGAATTATCTTTGTATTTTTTGAAAAATGACTTACGGTCTGATTTTTCGGTAAGTCGTTTTTTGAACTTTTCATTCCAAAGAATAAATACTCAATATAATTTTATTTAATATATTTAATATTTTAATATCATTTTAATTGAAATGCTAATTATTAAAATATTTAAAATATATTTTTAATATTTCTAATAATTTAATATTATACTTTTTAATATTATAATAATATACAATTATATTATAATAATACAAGATATATTTTTATTTTAATAATATTTAATAAATTATTAATAAAATATATTAAGTTCGTATGAATAATATTATTTTAAATTACTAATGATGAATAATATTATTTATGTATTTAATATTAATATAATAATCTAATAGTGTTTTAAAAAAAATGTTTAAAATATATTAACAATTTTTTTTGAAATATAATATTATCACTTGCTTTAATAAATAATTAATATAATTTATAATATTTTTATTTCAATGTATTAATCTTAATATTTATATTTTATAAAGAAATAATATTTTAATAATAATAAATAAATTATTTTAAAATTTTCAAAATAATTATATTAAATTTATAATAAATAATATTATTTATTATATTTAATATTTCTAATAAATAATTTTTTTTAAAATCATCAACTAATGGAAAATAGTTTACACAACATCTTAAATCTGAATGACAAAAAAATCTGAATGACAAAAAAAATTTATCAAGCACGACGGCTATCGATCTCTTCTTTGAGGACTCGAGCCACAAGGTCTACATCCATGGGTGGCCTTTTGTCACTTAAAATGCTACACAGTGAATGTAATTCTTCAGAGTTCGCCTTCTTGAATAGACCTCTGAGTAGAGTGTCAACTTCACCAGGCAAGCAATTGCTCCGAGGAGGCCCTACAATATCTTTTCCCCCGGATGTTCTAAGTACGTTGTCGCCATTAGCAAGGGAGTTAGAATGTTGTAGAAACTGCACTTGAAGCCGTGAATAAGGCCGAGAGTCCCAATACTCCGTACAAACTCGATTGCGATCCATCGCCTCAATGGCCTGGTTTATGATAAGCATACGGTAAGAGGAGAAAGCATTTACCATGAAATAAAATTTTAAGTCGTTAATAGACAATCCCGTGGGGGTGGGGGTGGGGGGGAAGCAGTTAAAACAAACTAGTCAGCTGAATTTTCTTTTCATATCAACTGCAAACCAGCTAACTTCTATGTTTGATGTTAAATTTCATCGGTATCCGAGGTGAAACGTCAGGTTGTATTGGGATGGCCAAACTTTCGAAAATCAAATGATAAAATGGTGGGCAAAAGCAGGTAGAGGGAACAAAAACTTAATCTACGAACCTGAACAATTTCTGGTGTAGAAAAACCGAACATCTCATAGCCATCAAAGCAGCCGGGAGGCTGCAATGGGGGAAGGTTGGTCTTTCCTTGTCTATGTTGCTTCACTATCTCTTGATTCACTTTCTCCCGCACCATCTCCCAGCATCTGGCAGCTGAAACATGAACATATACTTCACTGGGACAGTGCTCCACAGATACCTGAAACCGAATCAGAATTAAGGCCATGCATGCTTAAAAACACCATGACAGCATTTTCCGATGTCATATAATACAGATGCCGGGTGTAGTTAATAAGATCCGTGATACAGAAACATAGTTGATAGAATAAAATTTTCAATTACCATGAACAGGGGTGCATCCCTCTCTGCATCCAATATTTCTGAGACATAGTAAGCCATATTTGTTGGATCTAAAACACTGATATACCTAACCCGGCTCTTAAATCCTGCATTCATTAGAACAAATGAGTAAATACATATGGCTGTCCATACTTGGCATATTGACATTATAAACAACAATGCAACAAACCTTTTGGGAAAATGGCCTGGCTGTTGCACCATAACTTCCCAGAGAGAACAGATCCAAATTCCAAAGGCTCAACATTACAGTTGATCCTACGCACTACCTTAGCAATGCGAGGACCTTTCTGCCTGACGTTTATGTCCAGATTATTTTGAGAGCAAGATGGCCCTTCTACATTACTTCTTGTATGGTCAATTAAATTTGCCGATGCAATGGTTCCCACCTTCTCATGTTCATCCTTGTCAACTTTTTCACCACCCAAAGGCAGCAGATGCCGAAAGTTGCTTTCAACAGTCAATGGTTTATTCTTGTTATCATCCATCTCTGTGGTATGAGAAGAATCCAGAACACCTTTACCAGATTCTGTAGTGGCAGATTCTAAATGAAAAGAAATATTCTGGTGATTAGATCCTACAGATGTGATACTGTTTTCAGCATGCTCATCTTTCATTTGAGAATATTCAGATGACCAACTAGTCCTCTGTACATCAGGGGAAACGACAATCTTTTGATTCATAACCGCAGCATCAGTTAGAGGGGAAATTAAGATAGCCTCATTCTTGTAATTACATGTGCTCGCTTTTTCACCAGACGGTGCCAGCCTCAGGGAGGCTTCTGAATGCTCTGTGCCAGAATGTTCTTTTGGCCTTTCTGAAACTGGTTTCTCAGGTTCATCACCTTCATCATCACTAAGAAGAATGGTATTATTATCTTGTGGAGCTGAAGCTTTCTTCACTCTACTTGCCGCAGTAGTTTGGCCTCCAGGCATGCTTAAGCTTGAAGCAGAAGGAACTGATTCCCCTTTCTTCAACTTAGAATTTGAATCCTTTGATGGTAATACAGCCTCTGATAGTTTATTTCTTTGTGGCAATAACATCTGAGCAGATATTTGAGACAAAATCAAGGCTTTGTTTGTCGACATATCTTCTCCTGGTAGTTCTTTGGAGGAAATGACTGCTGGTTTTGGCACTTCTTTGGATACTCCTTCCAGGCTATGGGGTAATCTACCACCTATATTGTCCCTAGTTACATATGAACTCAGGGCTAGCCCAAGGTCTAGTCTTGCCCACCTATATACGGCACTTAGTTTTCCTTCCACTGCTTCAACAATTATATTTAATTCATTTATATCATACCGAAATAGGAAAATTGTGGCACCTCGACCACATGAACAGAACTGCTTTGCGTGTTTCAAGCATGCATATCTATCAGGGGAGCAATGACAACCTGCTGCAGAAAGGTGCAAATCAAAAAAACATATACTGCATTCTCTCTCGCTGGTAGCATCAAAATTGCTCTCCATTTTCACAACCTGAGAAGAACTACAAACAATTTCCCTGCTTAGACGCTCCATCTCAACACGTGTCTGTAGGAAATAAACATATATTAAGTCGGTCAATATCAACCAATATAAGCATTGCTTATATGCTAATAATAATAAGTTTACAAAATAAATATTACAAGAATCTAGTAAACATTGATTCATTTATGAGTTTGAAATTAAATTAAGTACTAGATATGATTTGTTTTATCAACATAAAATTGACTTCAAGTAGTTTTGCTATTGAATACTAAATCCAAATCCAGGGGTAAATTATTATTTTGTACAAAATGAACTTCACACACGCACAAACGGCATTATGAGGTTATGTGTCCATGTGCACAACTGCACATATACAATCATCATGAAAGAATACATGCATGCAGCATGAATATGAGCACAAATATTTAGAGCTCGTAAATCGTAATCACAAGCTTCTTACATTATTAGAGATTTTGGATCAATGATTCTCTAGAGATCAGACTAATCCAAAACCACTTGAAAAGTTTATCAAACATTAAATTTGAATCAGTCACAAAAATATAGCTTAAGAATAAAATTTACACAGTTCAAATCCAGATCATGCACAGAGTTTCTAAACTGACTAATTAAGAATTCATAAAATCATACCCAAAATGTCAAGCCCAAAGAAAAATAATGGACATAACTTACCTTGAGAGTTTTAGCTAAAACTCCATCCTCTCCACATAAACCTTTCCACCTTAAGTTATCAGAAGTATACTTCTTCAGTAAACTGAGTTCCCAATGGGCTTTGACTGCTTCCCTTGCTGCTCCAAGCAACAATCTATCATGTGAGATGGAAGTTTTCCTTCCCTGTTCACGGTAGAGCTCAACAGCAATCTGTCCATGTGGCAACCAGTCAACGGGAGCAACATTCACTGCTTCTGCACAATTGAAACCACAGTTGAACCCCGCATGATATGCTCTAGGGAATGTCAGAACAAAATCTCCGGCATTCTGAACACATCGATAGACAGGTACCCCTTCAGATTTTAGTATGGAAGGAGACAGCTGGGTGACCTGCATGAAAGAATGACATTCAGGGCATAATTGGTACCGTGCAGCGGTCTATTCGGATAGTGAACCAAAGCATTACCAAAACTAGTTCAGGCTTAAAACCCATTTTGCTACTGGCTTGGTAAGGTTGATTTGTGCTCTCTCAAAAATTAGAAATTTTAGTTAGTAATCATTATAGCCAATACCCTTGAATGTTACAAGGCAGGTTCAGCTTAGAATAGACCTTATCAAGCCACTAGAAAATGGATTGATCCAAGTAAACATGCTATCTTCTTCTTTTTTTGTGCGGGGGAGGGGGCTGCTTAGTAAAACATCATGATACATTTGGCTTCTTAGTATCATTTTGACTCGCTCCAAAACAGTTTGATAAAGTCACCATTAGCAATAATTACAAATACAAACACCGTATTATAGATCTTTTAGCTTACCAATTTGTGAAGCAGGTCAGGTTGTTCATCAAAAAGGTCAGGCAAATGCTTTTTCATAGCCTCCTCCAGTTTAGAAGCATGCTTTCCAGGGACACCATACCATATTTTTGGAGCACCCCAATGCATATAATTCAGTGAGTACAGGTGGTGATCTTCAACATGCTAGACCCATCCACATAAAACAAATGGGAAAAGAATAGCAATATTAGCACCCTCAGATCATCCTTATATTGTCATATGTAAGTAATGACCTTAAATGTGACTTCAATAGCTCAAAAGTTCAAAAGAACCAATTGTTGGCTAACACCCAAAAAAACATAAAACTAAATCCACAAATTTCTGCACAGTGGACCAGGTGGCATAATATTTTGTTAAGGGTTTCTTCCATTATTATGCTAACAAATTCATCCAGGGTTCACATCAGTACCATCCTGGAATCACTTTTCAGGTAAGCCAACCCCTTAACTATTCTTATTGATCCAAATTCCAGGCACACGATTTAGGAGAATCAAATGGGGTATAAAGTCACCCAATCAAAATAAATAGACATGAATTTCATTTTTCACAAGCTCGACTAACACAAAATTATCAAAGAATACCAGAGCCGAGTTCAATTCATGCAAGGGCAACGGAAGTTTATAGCCATAGAAGTCTTACCCAACAAAGAGCTAGACTAACACAATATCAGAGGTCGACTCATATTACAAGGGGGAAGGAAGTTCATAGCCATATAAGTCTTACCCAACAAAAGGATGAAAAGCACATTCCTAAATACAACCAGGGAACCAGAACCCCTGAAATATCACTGCTTTCATAGTTGAGAACAGATCCAGGAAGCCTGGAGAAGTTATTCAAGTTCCAGCCAGATTTTATGTACTTCTCACTGGATGCAAATCCAACTTGATTGGACTTATTAGGAAACCCACTGCCAAATACCCCCGTTTCCAGATCAGCCCCATATAAGACCTGAAAAAGAAAAGGAGTATAAGAATTATACTCCACTTCGCAACTGGTTTAAAAAGAAAGAAAAGAGCAGATAAGAAAACAATTGGATTTTGATTGGTCTAGTTGGAATGTTAAAAAAAACAGTTTGTTGGTGTGAGGTTTTCTAAAATACTTTATCAGAATGAAATTGTTTGAACTATGAATAAATCTCTTTAGTCCACTTGAAACTCCATTGACTTTGTCTATCAGTTTCTCCTAGTGACACTTCCAAGAATCTCCCATTTGGAACTTCCTAGCCTCCAAAAACTCATTTCAGCTTTTTTGAAAAGCTATAAAAAAAAGTTTTCTCAAACTCCTTTTTGGTCCAACCATAGCTTCCTGGAGCAGGAAAGTTACTTCAATAGCCCAGGCTACCCAGCGCTAAGTAAATTAATCAACAGAACGGAAGGAGAAATTTCCAAACTCACAAATCTTACCTCTATTTCCTCAGTTGCTTTCTCCACTATGCGCCAGTATTCACCCTCAATATTCTCAACTGAAGGTTCATGGTGCTCTGGAAGAATGGTCATTTTACCTTTCATATCTACATCACTTTCCTTCTTCCTAAAGTACTGGGCCTTGAACTCATCGGCATACTTCTGAAACTTATCCAGAGTAAACTCTGGACCAGGTTCAAACCCAAACCTCTCTACTTCACAAAATCCAGTATCAGAAGACCATGAGATATTTCCACTATCAGACCCACAGTCTACAGCCATTCTCATGCATCTTCTCCTTTTCCTCCTCATGCTGTTTTTAACTTTTGACATTTTTCTCATTGAACCTCGATTCTGAAGCTTGTCAACCTTCTGCACACGAGTAGCAAATCTAGAATTTTCCCATATATTCTTTTCTTTCAGAGGACAAGGAGGCTTCCAAGAAGATGGAGGAACAATGCGACAGATTCCAAATTGTTCCGCTTTTGGTCGTATGCTAGCTATATACTTCAACGTATCTTCAAACTCCTGCGGGAACATTATAAAACCAGATAAGATATTCAATTCTATAATGCAGAACTGCAGATTTGACAGTAACAACTATGGGAGACAAATTATGATATTCAAGCAACTCAAATATTATAAGCAACATTAAATACCTTTTCTGTCGGATAGAACACAGGTGCATCCACAATGCCTGGTCTACATGCTGCTTCTGGATGCCATCTTGCAGTTACCTGTTCCACCATATTACATATCAATGAAATAATATTTTTTTATAAGAAAGGGAGGCCTCGTTAAAAACCCTCTACATAACCGTCAAAATACCAAGGTATCAAGAAGAACATTGGAAGGAGGAAAAGAGTGCCTCAAAGTTTATTAATAACCAACAAAAATACAAAGTACAACACACCAACAATAGAACCTCAAACAAACCACCTTAACCAATTCCTAACTTGGCTAAATCATCCGCCTCATAATTCGCACAATGTTGAACAAGCCTCAGAATAACATTCCTATCATTTTTTTTATAGGAATAAAGCCTCGTTAAAACCCCCTTCATAACTATTAAAGAACTCCATAGTCATTGGAAAGGGAAAAAGAGTGCCCAGAATTTTATTACCAAACATAAGAAATACAACCAAAACCAAACATAAACAATACAAATACCCCCATTACAACAACCCAACACCCTCAGTCTCACCGAGCCAAAAAACCTGTCCTCACACTATCCTATTCCTGATTTAGCTAAACAATAAGCTTCCCCATTAATACATATGTTAACATGCCAAGTTATAACATTAAAATGCAACACAGTATTCTGAATATCTCTAGCCAAATCAACATAGCAAACCGGGCAAAGATCCGGGTTATTGATCCACTTCAAAGCAAGAGAGGAATCACTCTCTAAAATCAGAATCCCCTTATCCCTCCAAACCGAGTCAAAAAACAATTCTAACCCTGCTTGGATCGCTAAAATCTCTGCAAGTATCGGTGGGCATGGTCCTGTCGCTCTTGAGAAAGAACCCAACCTATTTTTATCAGCGTCCCTGAGAACTCCTCCAATACCACTACATCTCCAGTCAAAATTAACAACCCCATCAACATTCATCTTAAAATAACCCAATGGGGGAGGACACCACTTTGGCTTAGACAAACCAAGCTTAGAAGGGGAACGGTGCACATCAGCCAAGGTTAAGTCACCCACAAGGTTGTCTACCTGTATAGAGAATTCACTGTTTTTAGCCAAGAACCATGAAGCCACCTTATACCTAACCAAAAAGAAGAGATTATCTTTATCCAGCTTGCCATTCTCGAACACTATCTGATTCCTGCAATTCCAAACAGTCCACAAAACAGCACCCGGCAGAAATTTCCAAAAAACCGAAATAGGCCTTAACTCCAACCATGATAGCATAAACCCTTTAGGATTATTGGGAAATACTGAACATACATTCCACAATTGAAGGAATTGCACCCAAATCTCTCAAACCAATTTACAAGAAAAGAACAAGTGACACCGATTCAGACTCCAAGCCACAAAACGTGCATTTTAAATCCTCAATACCTTGAACCCCTCTGCTTAGTAAAATTGTCTTGACAACCAACTTCTGGTGGATCACTTGCCAAAGAAAGACCTCCACTTTAGGAGGAACTAACCCCCTGCAAACAATCTCAGACCAAGAAACATCTGGCTCGGATAAGCTAGAAATTAATCTTATGCATGAATGAACTGAAAACACACCCTCCCCATTTCCTTTCCTAGCATAACAATCTTCACCCTTCAGCCCAAGACGAAAACTATCCAACATAAGCATTAGTTCCATCCATTGGTCAAATTCACTATCCATCAAATTCCTCCTCAGCTGAAAATCCCAAACCCACCTCCCATTACTAATACACCCAAAATCTGTAATAACCCCATCCTTATTAACCGACAAAGCAAATATCCTTGAAAATTTAGTCTTCAAAGGTTAGTTACAAATCCATCTATCATGCCAAAACCTAATTGAATCTCCCTTTCCCACCTGCAACAATAGATGATTTCGAAAACATAACCCAAATGTATCATTCAACCGATAATTATTTAGAACTCCTTTCCAAATCCAAGACGCACTAGGAGGCAAATTATTATCCAAAACAATAGATCTCCTATCAACATTATACTTGCAACAAATCATCTTCTTCCACCAAGAATCCTTCTCACTTCCAAACTTCCAAACCCATTTTCCCAAGAGAGCCATATTCCTCAGATTCAGGTCCGACATACCCAAACCCCCCAAATTCTTTATTTTTACAAACAGTCGACCAATTAACCCAGTGGATCCGACTCTTCTAAACCGAGGACCCCCACAAAAAGTTAGCCATTAAAGATTCCATCTTTTTCCGAACAACCACTGGCATTTTAAAAAGAGACATAGTAATTTGGAAGTGCATTCAAGACTGATTTTACTAAAACTGCCCTTCCCGCAAGGGATAAAGACCCTGTTTTCCACCCTGCAAGCTTCTAATAAAATTTATTCATAATTAGTTCCCACAGATGAATAGAATTTCGCCTTGCGCCCAAAAGTAACCCCAGATAGACATTCCTATCAATTACAATCAATACAATTTCCTTCACAATCGAAATAAACAAAAAGGAACAAGAGCCCGGGTTCCTAATCCAATCTAAAGCTTTGGAGCAATCACACTCCAATATCAATCTTCAGCTTGAAGCCCAATGTGACTCCAAGAACGATAAGGCTCTTTTTACTGCCAAAAATTCTGCCAAAATCGGAGGGCCAGAACCTATACTTTCTGAAAAGGTCCCAAGTACAACACCGTCTGAAATTCTTAAAATATCTCCAACTCCCCTTTTACTCTAGAATTTGTCCATTGCCCCATCAACATTCAACTTAAAAAAAACTCAGACGTGGAGGCTGCCATATCACAGAAGAAAATAAGTCTTTCTTACTAGTCGAACAAGACGCCTACCTGTAATGGATAGTAAACAAAATGATTGATCCAACTTACTTTTCTCGGAAATAATCTCATTCCTAAACTTCCAAACCGACCATAATATTACCCTAGGAACAAACATCCAAATCCTCGAACGAGACGCTAAATCCATCCAAACAAAAAAAAAGAGCAACAGTATCTTCCAGAGCCACACAGGACAAGTCCCACATCCAAGCGAAATTCATCCAAAGTCTCCAAACAACCGGGCAGGCCACAAACAAGTGGGAAACAGTTTCTGGGGCCGAACCACATAGAGGACAAAGGTTATCAACAATCCCCAGAACACCCAGTTTGATTAACTCTGTCTTTACTCCCAACTTCTTATGAAAGACTTGCCACACAAATGCTTCCACCCGAGGAGGAGCCACTCCAATCCAAACAAGCTTAGACGAAGGAAGAACGACTTCCTCTTTCTCATTTTTTTTATAAGAAAGGGAGACCTCTTTAAAATAAACCCTTCATAACCATCAAAACACTAAGGTATCTCGACAGATATTGGAAGGAGGAAAAGAGTGCCTCGAAATTTTATTACCAACCAAGAAAAAAATAGTACAAAATGTCCATTACAACAACATCTTACAGCAGAAATAAAACTCCTAGAAAAACCAAAAAACACAAGCTCATCCAATTCCTATCTTAGCTAATTCATCCGCCTCACAATTCACAACTCTATTGACATGCCTTACAATAACATTCCTATCTACTACCCAAGACTCAATTTCTTTCACTAACGAAATAAATAAAGCAGGACAAGAACCCGAAATCTTGATCCAATCTAAGGTTTTGCTGCAATCACTCTCCAAAATAAATCTTCCCCTTGAGCTCCAATTCAAATTCATGAAGAATAAAAAACCGGCTTTGATAGCCAACAGTTATGCCAAAATTGGAGGGCCCGAACCAACACTTTCAGAAAAGGTCCCCAACACCGTACCGTCTTCATCCCTTAGTAAACCACCTATTCCCCCTTTAGTCCAAGACTTATCCACTGCCCCATCAACATTTATCTTGAAGAAACCCTTAGAAGAGGGAACCAAGACAACGATATAGCGAGGAGTTTACTACAACACACTAATGAATCAGCTAGAGCAAGATTACCCACAAGACAGTCGAAAGGAATTGGGATAGCAGGAAATTTCGTAGAGAACCAAGAAACCAGTCTATACCTTGTTAAGAAAAACAACAGTGTGTTGTCTAACTTCCTTCCTTCAAAAATAATCTCATTTCTACACTTCCAGACCGACCATAAAATCACCCTTGGAATAAACAACCAAATTTTCGAGCGAGGCACCAACAACATTCAAACTGAACCTAGAGCAGCCGGACTTTCTGGAACAGCAAAAGGAACATCCCACATCTTCAAAAAAATGAACCATAATTTCCAAACTACCGAGCAAGACACAAACAAATGAGAAACCGTTTCCACAATCGAACCACACAGGGGAAGAGATTGTCTACGCAGGGACTCCACGTTTCACCAGCTCAACTTTAACTCCTACTTTCATGCGAAAAACCTACCAGACAAAAATTCCACCCGAGGAGGTGCCACCCCAAGCCAAACAAAGTTTAACCAAGCTAGATCCACATTCTCTTTCTCATTTAATAATTTTAAACAAGATCTAACGGAATAAGTGCCTTCTCCATTTTTTGTCCAAACAGAAGTATCCTCCAAAGAAACATCAACATAAAAATTGCAGAGAATAGGAGTCATCACCATTCCCACACCAAAGATAACCATCAGCTTCATTCGAACCATCAGAGACATTACAAAGAATAGAGTTTAATTCCACCCATTCCTCTAACTCCCAATCCGCGAGATTCCTCCTCATTTGAATATCCCAACACCAACCCGATTGACTAGAATTTCTGAAATCTGCTATTCTCCCCACTTTATTAACCGAAAACACATAGGACCCATCACCATTTCCGCACCAAAGATAACTATCAGTTTCATTCAAACCATTAGGAACATTACAAAGAATATAGTTTAATTCCACCCATTGCTCCAACTCCCAAGCCGCGAGATTCCTCCTTATTTTAATATCCCAACACCAACCCGATTGACTAGAATTCTTGAAATCTGCTATTCTCCCCCCTTTATTAACCAAAAGCGCATAAATCCTCTGGAAACGATCCTTTAAAGCAAATTACCTAACCAAGCATAATGCTAAAATAGGACAACCTCACGATTGCTCACTTTTAACCTTGTATTATTCCTAAAACAGTTTCCAAAATTATCATTAGCCATACCTTACCAATACACGCGTTCCTGGCATAGCCCCACCTTGCCACCTTTACATTAAACTCATCCTCGCATAAAGCTTATTGGATGAAATCAATGTCATACAATTTCTTCAGAATTCCGGTCAAGGACCTCTTAATCCACCCCCTTTCCTCCAAAGGAATGAAAATATTTAACTGACTCTTCGACTTCCTTTCATTTTTCATATTTCTCTTCTGAAAGGCCTCTGACAAACTACTATCATCAATCAAAGCATCCTTATACGATCTCCCATTGTAAAACCTATTTAACATCACCCTCTTATTTTCCTCACTCTTGGAAGAATCAGCGAACCTTCTCATCGTCCTTGCATTCTTTGCTTCAGCCTGACTCTCCTTATACTGAGGCTTCTAATACTTCGCCACCCTAACCGATATCCTTCTCCCATCAATCATCATATAATATTTGAAGACAATGGTTAGAAAGGGAGAATATTATAGCAATTATACAATCTGAATTGCATTGTCTAGCTCCTTCGTAGGAGCTTCAATTACCTGTTATTGTCACTTTAAGCTACATTACAATTAACCATCATTTAACCCAGCCAAAAAGCATAAGTACAAGGCATTTCCAAGTAATTCTTACATATATAATGTTGTTACTATAGAGGATATATATAATAACAGTATTGTAAAAATGACAATAGAGGAGCAGTGTTGCCTAAGGCAGATAATGAAATATTTAAAAAGTTTATGAAACTAGGAAAAACCAAAAGAAGTTGAAAAATAACCTTCAGGCAATCATTACACTCTGGACACCCACGGATAACGCCTTTAGGAAGATTATGCATCAATCTTTGATTCTGCAAACATAAATGGCATATATGAAACTACGAAGATGTAGAATTGTCATAAAGAGATGATAGCATGAGGTTTTGCTAAAATTTCCAATACCAGCATCCAAAACTATAAAACGATATAACTTTTTCAGAACACAAAGAAAAGAAAACAGAAGGTTCAACAAATATATTACAAGAAAAGAAAGCAGAAGTTTAAACAAATAAATTACAAGAAAAGAAGAAACTAACTTGGTCAAGCTTTCCACGATCAGGCTCATCATCTGGACTGCTATCATATATACCATAGTTTATCCAAGGTCTTCCCCTCATAGATCTGGTGATCTTTGAGCTTTCATTAATTCCCAATTCAGCTTCCTTAGAGGCAGAACTAGCATCAGAACTACTTGCAGTTGCATTGGCAGAACAATACTTTACATTATCACTCTCAAGTTTTACAGAATCTTGTGCCCCCCTTGTTAACGTAAAAGATGCATATGACTCAAAACCCGGCGGAACTGGGGGAAAATCATCGTTCTCTTCTTTAACACAAACCCTCATAAGTTCTGTCCCCATCTGTATTGCTACACAACAATGAATGACACGTCAAACACTGCATTCGTATCTGGAAAAGAAACAGTTGAATACAAAACAGGCCTAACTTAAAAATTAAAAAATCAATTCAGCAGCCCAATATCCAAACTAAAATTCTGAACTGCTAAAAAGAATTTTGATCTACACATAAATATAAAGCGGGTATTAAGAAAACAAATAGATGAAACATAATTCAAAAGCTTCATTCTATCAAACTATTCTATTGTCATGGACTCAGCATAAAATATGTCAACACTGCAATAGTCGTTACAATAAATTTTCAGGCTGTCCCCAGAAAATCACAATTCAGTAAGTTCAAGAAGACATGGCAGATGATAAGAATCCAGGATGACTATATTCCAGCATATTTGAGTATGATAATTGCATATGATCCTTGATAAGCCATTTCCTGACTATTCTCAGCTGATAGAGCAAGAGAGAGAGAGACCAAATAAGCTTTAGCCTTAATCCTGTATAAGTTTAAATCTCACTATGTTCTTAAGGATCAATGCTTAAAGTATGCTGCCAAGCCTAACACTTCAATGCACGAAAAATCATATTTCGTTTGACTCATGCATACAATGGTTCCACAAATCCTACAACGTGACATAGATGATAGAAAAAATCGAAACACAAATATAGTTTTGCATCTAAACACCTGGAGTTACCCAAAAACCAGTGATGCATTCAATAAAACTCCTGATCGTATTACTAATATAGCCCAATTAGATGAATCAACAAGACTAATGCCTTATCATTTTTTATATATTTGATTAAAACCAGGGAAGTGATGATGCAGTTGAAATCGAAGTGATTTGATTAATTGATTACTTTCAAAAACATGATCCCTCGAATGTGTAATGTTGCAATCAAACTTCTGAAAAATACTGCTTCTAGAAAGTTATATATAACACGAAAATAACAGATTGCAGGCCCTTCTTGGATCAGAAATTTTTTCTTCAACAAAAATCATCAATAACATCCAAAAATTCACATGCAATAAATAAGATTGAACATCAACTTCATCAACATATTTTTCAACTTCTTTTTTATATGGGATAAAATCAGGAGACTGGAACAAAATTTATGATACCTAAATGTCCAGCAAAATCCATGATCATCATGCGTTACTTTCTCAATTGATTAAAACATCTCAAACCCTAAAAGATCACAAACATTTGATTTGATAAAAAAATATAATAAAGCCCTTCAAATTCTGAGTTACTATTTTATAGTTATCATCACACACACAAAATGCAAGCAAAAAATCCCCAAAAATATATAGGAAAAAAACTAGATTAGTTAAAAAAAAAATTGGAGCTTACATGATCCAAAAGACATCTGTAATTTGGCATCACTTCAAAGCTCAAAAAACTCCTTTTGACTACACCAATTTTTTTCATAAAAAAAGCGAAAGAAAAAATCATGAATATATTTCTAAATTTGAAACCATAATAAAAATAAAAATTATAAAGTGGAAACAAAACACAAAGTTAAATCTGATTTTAAACAGATCTAAACCTAACTCTGACCCTAAAACATCACAGAGCAACAAACAGAAAAAAAAATCAAAATCAACAGAAAAAAAGAAGTTACTATTTTTATCATATAATACTATATTTTCTAGAATTCATTGTTTTACAAGGGAACCCCACAAATCCAAATATATGACCATCAAAACCCCTACCTTCAAAATAAAATCTGAAAAGAGAAGAATTCCATGAAAACGGAGTGAGATGATAAGGGTAAATACGGAAGATTAGTTAATTCACCAATCAATACAGGAAATAATAGATTTTAATAAAATCTCTTCTTACAATTAATTTGATTCAGGTTTTTGTTGGGTTTTTATGAAGCAATTGAAAGCATAAACGGTGTTTACTTTTTGAGAGGGGTAATTTGGGGAAATGGAAGGATAAGGTGGTTTATTTTCTTTTTTGGAAATAATATTAATTGATTGAATTTAACTGTGGGCTGCTTTTTAGGGTATATTACAATGTTTCTCAATGAACTTTACTCTCTCTTATTTTACTCACCCTACTTTTAATTTTTCTAATTTACTCATTTGAACTTCACAGATTGAATCATTTTGCTCACTTTGCTCTTAATTTTTTAACGGTGTTATGACATGGCATAAGCATCAAAACAACATGGTTCATCTCGACCCATTGAGTTAGAATCTGGTGGTTGTTTCACCAGAAAAAAATTTTAAAATCTGTGAATTTCGACTGAAATGTTTTGGCTCCCTCACTTTCAATCTCCAATTCGTAGACTTTTGAGCAATTTTCGACAAAATATATGTCGGGTTTGGACTCAAAGTGTCGAGGCAAAGCGACCCATGCCGAACGACTACTATCTATGATGGTCGAGGTGGTCGGTGGTGGCATTCGGTCACCTTCTGTTTTTATTTTATAGTTGAGTGAGCAAAATATGAGAGAGTAAAGTTTAGTGAGGAATAATATAATTTATCTTAATATTTTCATTTATTTTTATATTAAATAATAATAACAAAAATGACACGTGATCATAAAGTTAGAGAGATAACGGTAGAGCAAGCAAAATGATTCAATCTGTAAAGTATAATGAGCAAATTAGAAATTTTGAAAATACGATGAATAAAATAAGAAAAAAATAAAGCTTAATGAACAACGTCTAATTAAACCTCTTTTTTCTGTGTTCGCCGTATGGAATGAATAATAAAGGTTTCACGCAGTCTGGAATCAACTAATGTATGGACCGACCATTTCTATACGCTTCATTTATTTATTTATTAAATTTTAATTTTTAAAATATATTAAATGATTTCAATTTGTTATTTCTTTAAAGATTTTGAATTTGAGTAATTAGATGGCATATGTGTTCATCATGTTTTATTAAGTTAAAATAATTATAAAATAGTATTTATTTTAAATATTTTTAATTATTTAACAATAAATGTTTAACCACTCTTATTGTAGTTATTGGTATTTGAATCAAGACATCTGAGAATAATAAATATTTTTTTAATCACCGAAATTATTTGATTCGTGCGTGTGTATATTATTAATAGATAAAAAATATTAAATAAATATTATCTTATAATCAATTTAAAGTATTAAAAAATTAAAATTAAAATAATTAAACCTAATTTCATTAAATTAAGCAATGAGTCGCCTTTATTTGGTAAAGATAATTTTAACAAAATCTTTGACCCATAATACAATAAATCCAATAAGATATGACCGTGAAATGAAAAGTTGAAGCGACTAGATATGATTATAATTTTAACAAGGGTAAACTACTTGGATGATCATCCAACTATGGGGTTCATATTGAAATGATCATCATTTTAAAATTTGTGTCAATATGACCATTAAACTATATAAATGAGTTCAACATTGTCACTAGCAGTTAAAATCTATCGGAAGAGTGACATGACAGTTAATAAAATTTATAAATTACATATTTTTTTCTTCAATATTGTATATTTTATCAATTTAGTCCTAATTTTAATTTAATTTAAAAAATTAATCATTGGATGTGTCAATCAATATTGAGACTCATTTTAATAGTTAATTAAATTAAAAATATGACTAAATTGATATAATATATAAGTATTGAGGATTAAATATATAATTATACAAATTTATGTTAACTGCTACATCATCCCTCTGTTAAATTTTAACAGTTAGTAGTTCAGTGGTCATATTGATGTAAATTTTAAAATGGTGGTCATTTTAATACCAACCCAATAGTTGTGTGGTCATCCAAGTAGTTGACCCGTTTAACAATACTTTGACCCATAATCCATTAAATCACGGGTTGTGTAAAGTTAACACGGTATTGGTTGATTAGTTTAGGACTAAACACAGTCTTAATCCTAAAGTTTGTAAAAAAGAAAAAATAAATTATTTATACTTTTTCATCTTTTTTATTTTAAAATATTTATTATTTTAAGTTAAACAATTTAATAGAAAATTTGTCAGATTTGTTAAACTATTGTCAATTATTTATTTTTTGCTAATATTAATATCATATATTTAGTTATTCTATGTAAAAATATAAAAATATTAAATGAATATAAATATATAAATAGATATATTAAAATTTTAAAGAATATAAATATTGATTAAAAACAATTCATGTTAGCACAACAATTATTTACTTTTTTCATCATTTAATTTTACAATAAATAAATAAATCTTTTTAAGACCAAATTAATCATTAGTTTAAAACTGGGTGGGATATAGGTAGTAACATTTGACCCTAAAACTGAGTTTCAACTCGACTCAATTGAGTTGTTTTTTATTTTAAAAATTCATACTTCATGTCAGGTTTTAGAGTAAAATATTTAACGTGACCAAATTCATGATAATATTTTGGGATAATTAGAATAATATTTTTATATATATTATTTTTAATTATATTCTTATTTTATTTAATAAAAATAAAATTATATATATTTTGGTAAGGTTAGGTGTACGTGGATGAATTTAATTTTTGAATCATGTTTGAATGAGTCAAAGCTCATACTCAATCTGAAATAATATTATAATTATCACTTATATTTAAGAGATAATTACAATAATACACACACACACACATATATATATATATATATATATATATATATATATATATATATATATATATATATATTAATTTAAATTATATATTTGAGTCAAGTTGAGTGCATGTGGAGGAATTTAATTTTTGAATCAGGTTCGAGTAGACCAAAAACTGAACTTAATCCAACTCTCATGATCATCCCTAGTAATATCACGCTTCAAGATTGATATATTTTTTAAAGTATAACGTCATAATGTTAGATTGGATAATTATTTTAATTTTTGTTATTTTTTAAAACACTTTAATTCTTAAAGTTTCATTTTAATCAAAAATAAAATTTTGTTAAATGGAAACTATTAATTGATTAATTGTCAGTATTTTTGTTGACTACATAGATACATGTAGACTACAATATTGATGTGTCATATTCACATGTGAATAAGTGATGATATCATGTAAATAAAATTATATATTTTTTAAAATAATTATAAATTATTATTTTTATTAAATTAATTACAATTGATCATTTCCACAGTTGAATATAATTTTGTACACCAGGAGCTTGAATATTTTAAAAGGCAAATTATATTTTATTATAATACTGACACGAATTTGATCACAAGTTCGATCATGGATTTCTCAAATTCCATATTATTTATATTAGAATTTTTAAGTATATAAATATATCATTTAAACACATACTCATTAAATGGTTGAAGACAATATATGTATACGCTATTTCATTTTTCATTTTTAATGGCACAAGCATTTGATGTATCGCTAGAAACTCGTACAACATTAATGACCAATAAAATAGGTTTTATGAAAAACGTGACATACATAAAGATGACAAACGAGTCATTCGGATCGAGTTTGGGTCGGGTCATTTCATATCAGATTATTTCAGGTCTAGACTATATTCGGTTTAATTTTGTTTAGATCAGATCTTGTTTGGATCTAATTCTGGTGTACGATAAATCAGATCGGATCGGATATCAGGTCAGGTCAACTTTCAGGTCGGATAATTATCGGATCGATTGTTTTCAGATCGAATATTGGATTAGTTAGATTTCGGGTCGGGTCAATATCGGATCGGTTGATTTTCACTTCTCGTTTGCATGTATACTTTTTTAAAACACACTTGACTTCATTTTAAGCCTAGAATCGGTTAAACCATAACTTTGATACAATTAAATATAACACCTCAACCTGTATCCAACCCGGATACGAGTACAAGGTGTCACATTGACTTTTCAAATCGTTAATTTTTAAAAAGTAGTTGAAATTTAAACATTTATTTATATTAAAATGGTGGAATCCTTAAACGAAAACAGTTACAGAAATTCAAATTTAAATTGAAAATAAAAACTTAATAATTTACATAAATAAAATCAAGTATTTTTACAAAATCTGATCAGAGCATTTACGATTTAAACATCTAATTACATGCCAACAACATTTAGTACAACAAAATGACATACTGTTTAAATTGTTTCTGATCTGATCTTCAGTAGGGATATGATGTCTTCACTTGTCCTAACTTTGTTCTTCCGGCTTCTTTGAACTTACGTATGAAACACTCACACGCTAAGTCTTTGACTTAGTGTAACACCCCCAACCCGTATCTGACCCGAATACGAATCTAATGTGTCACATTGACTTTTTAAAGTACACAAATTTATAAAACCATAGTAAATTTAAAACTTTTATTAATACGAAACTATATTTACATACTAAATTCAAAACATTACACCTCGATCAGAGCGTACATGCTATATGACTCTCTTTACATGCCAACATATATATATTACATAAGCAGACATACTATATAAAGTGCTTCTGATCTAATCTTCAAATGATGATATGATGCCCTGCCGCTCCTAAGACCAAATTTCTTGCTTTTATGTACCTACGTGTAAATCACTTACACGCTAAGTCATAGACTTAGTGAGGCATAAATCTA